AGCCCACCATTTCTGTGCCCTTTGAAAGAGCATTCCAAAATGTTTTACTCTGTTGTTCTTAACCCCATAAGCCTGCATCATTACCTTTTCAAATATTCAAAATGCTTTTTGAAAGTGGCTGTTGCATCCATTTCCACTATCCTATCAGGCAGTACATTCCAGGATAAAAGCTCAACGTTTAAAGAAAGTTCCTTCTCATCTCCAATCTGGTTTATTTCCCAAACATGTGTGTCCTTTGGTTACCCATCTTCTGTCCTGTTTTAAAAAAAAAACTCCTTGCTTATTCTCTTGAACCCTTTCATTTTGAACACTCCCAGTAAATCTTCCCTTAAAATTCCCTTCTCTAATACGAACAAGTCCGGTCTCTCAATGTAACTGAAGTTCTTCATTTCAGGTAACATTCAAGTAAATCTCCTCTACTCCAGTCAACTGTGCAATATTTGTTTGAGAGCTGGAAATAATGACACAATAACTGTGTATACCATCTTCATACAGTTTGGAATCCTCCAGTCAGTTTCAAGTCAGGACATTGAGAGAAATTACCAGATGAACCCTCAAGGTTCCATGAAGTTATCTACTGGACAGTTCCAGTACACTTTGGATTTCTCAGGTAAACCAAATCTCCCATCAATACCCTGGCATAAATGTGTAACAGGTGTGGTATGTGAAATTAACCTGTCCGTGCTGTTACATTGCAGCAATGACACAGACCAATTTGACAACCAGGAAAGTCAGACAAGTGCGTCGTCTTTGAAGGCAGACCAGATGAGAAAGGAAGCCGTGGACTAAAAGCTGGACTCTCATGCATATGGTGTGTTCCAACAGCACTCAGTGAACTTTGCAGCAGTTAGCCTCTAATAAGACATACAGTCAACACCCTGTTGATTTCAGAGCAACAAATGCAGGGTTGGACATACAAGTACTTTATGAATTTTTTGACAGCCACCCTCTAGTTTACAACCTTCCCCATTTCAGTAGCAGACGGGTTGTGGTATTTCACTGAATGGAGGTAACACTGCCCTGTGAGGATCTGTTTATTGAACAGACAGGAAGTGCCAAGGAAGTCTCCGTGGTGTTTATCAGTCTTGATTTAGCTATCAAACTACAATATATGGAAAGCCCCCCCTACCTTTGTAACGGGAACCAGAGATGCCAATGAATATCACTGATATTGACAAACCAAGAATATTTTTCTTTAAATGCAGATCTGGTGCAGTGCAGGAGTTAATCCTGTTCCAAACAATGTATAATAGTATAAGCTCAATTCATTGTTGAATTTTTTATGTTAAATGGGAAAAGACATGATTTTAGTTTCCTTGTGAATTGTTGTTTTTGTTGCAAGGAGGTCTGGAGACCTGTTTGGAGTCGTGCATTTTTAATAAGGTGTTTAACCTTGAATTGAAGAGATTGGGTTTGGTGGGTTAGTGCACTTTAAAAACGTGGGGAAAAAAACTGCTGGTACCTCATAACAAGGATCCAGTGACAGACAGATACAAAAAAGACACAAGTTGGTTAGTCAGTGAAAACCAAAAGAACTGCAGATGTTGTAAATTCGAAACAAAAACAAAAGTTGCTGGAAATGCTCATCAGGCCTGGCAGAATCTGTGAAGAAAAGATCAGAGTTAATGTTTTGGGTCCAGTGACCCTTCCTCAGAACTTCTGAGGAAGAGTCACTGGACCCGAAATGTTAACTCTGATATTTTAGTTAATCAGTGCATGGATTTACCAGGAGTGGAAGCAGGAGGGTTAAACTCTGCAGCAAATTTGAGATTAGGGTAAATCACATGTTCACCGTAAAGTTGAAGTAATGGTCAGTTTGATTTGACGTTTGTTTTAGGTGTTTCAGGGAGATCTACCAGGTAAAGTATCTTGAAGACTTTTTTAAAAAATTAACCTATTTAGACATGTTATTGCTACACCTTCATAACTGATGGGACTTGAACACAGACCTTCTGGTCCAGAGGAAGGGACATTACCACTGCATCATATGACCCCCTGGAGTAGTGAGTAAATGTGTAGGAATTCAATGGAAGGGAAACAAACTGCAGCCTTAATGTGGGATTAGCAGTGAATTTACCCTGGTGTTTGGTGTTTGTAAGGATACTGCAGAGATAAAAGGAATAGTGAGTTGAAATTCTTGTACTGGTGTTCATGCCAAATTCTCTCAATTTTTTGTCAAGTGAAAAATAGTTATGTTTAAGCTCTTGTTTAATAAATGTTTTATTCTACTTTAAATGTACACCTACAAACTATTGTAAATGTGTTCTGTAACTAGCCTCCTGGGTTTTGAAAAACAAAGTTGAGTCTAACTAGCCACGTTTAACTCTGGGATCAGATTTGTCCAGAATTAACATCAACGGACCTGTAACAATCCTCGTGACATTTTCAAAAGTTGTATGCTTTCCAGTTGAACAAAACAAAAATCAACCAGTTTCTCAAAGTGGAAAAAGAAATATCAAGAAAAATAATACTGGCAATGTTTCCCAAATTGAATGAGCAATTTGCAACAGAACATAAATCATTTTGGAGAGATAGGATAAAACTGCTAAATAAACCAAGAACCTGAACTTTTGGTGTATAAATGTCTTAGATATGCACACATTACAAAAACTATTAAAAGAATTCAAGTAGATACTTACAGAAAAAGTATTTCTTCGGGTGAGGAAATCCAAAATGAGAAAGGATACAAGCTCAAATCAGGCCATGAAGGAGTGAAAACAGAACTACTTCTTCACTCAAAAGACAGTAAAGGAATCAAGGGTTACTGGAAAAGGCATGAAAGTGGATGCGAGTGTCGGATCAGCTATGATCCTATTGAATGGCAAGGCAGGCTCAAAGGGCTGAGCAGTCCACTCCTGTTCCTATTTCTTATGGTCTTATGAACAGTGGAAATCTGGAGTCTGCCCTCAAAATACTATGGACACTAGGAATTAACTAGAGCTTTCATCCCTGAGATCACTAGACGTTTATTTATATTTATTGAGGGATATGGAATTAAAATGGGTAAATGGAATTGAGGGACAGATCAGAATCATTCTGAATGGCAGAACTGGCTGAAGGGGCAAAATAGCCTGCTCCTCTTGTCACTATGCCATCTAATTTGCATTGTTGCCCAGAGCCTGTTTGCTCTACCTTATGGTCTACTTAAGAGAGGCAACATGCAACGAGTGTTGTTAGATAATTTATACCACTATTTAAGAATAATGGTGCAGCTGCTAATTCAGTGAGTAAAGGGAGGTCATCAACTTCAGTCTCCAGCCTGCCTCGATCCCCTACAATTTGCTTACTGATGTAACAGTTAGATAGCGGATGCCATTTCCCTAGCCCTGCACTCATCACTGGAACATCTGGACAATAAGGACACCCACGTCAGCCTCCTGCTCATTGACTACAGCTCCGCCTTTGAAACCGTTATCCCCTCCAGACTGATCTCAAAACTCTGTGATCTTGGTCTCGGCTCCGCCCTCTGCAACTGGATCCTCAGCTTTCTGCCCCACAGACTGCCTTCGCAGACCGAAGATAGGTAACTGCACCCCCTCCACAATAACACTCAGCACTGGAGCCCTCCTCCCCCCACCAAGGATGTGTCCTAAGTTCCCTACTGTACTCCTTTTATACCTATGACTGTGTAGCCAAATTCCAAATGAATGCCATCTACAAGTTCGCTGATCACCATAGTAGGACAGATATCTAACATTGACAAGTCAAAATACAGAAGGGAAATAGAGGGCTTGGTGACACGGTGCAGTGAGAACAACCTCTCTCTCAACATCAGTGAAACTAAAGAACTGATCATTGACTTCAGAAAGAAAGGTGGAGAACATGCCCCCATCTACATCAACGGAACTGAGGTTGAGAGGGTGGAGAGCGTCAAGTTTCTCAGAGTGACGATAACCAATGACCTGTCCTGGACTTCCCACGTAAATGTGATGGTCAGGAAGACACAACAACACCTCTTCTTCCTCAGGCGGCTCAGGAAATTTGGCATGTCCATAAGGACCCTCACCAACTTCTACAGATGCACCATTGAAAGCACACTGTCCGGGTGCATAACGGCCTGGTACGGCAACTGCTCTGCCCAGGACCGAGAGAAACTACAGAAGGTGGTGTGCACAGCCCAAATCATCACAGAAGCCAACCTTCCATCCATGGACTCCATTTACACGGCTCACTGCCACAGAAAGGCTGCCAACATCATCAAAGACCCATCGCGCCCCGGTAATGTTCTCCTGCAGCCTCTTCCATCAGGCAGGAGATACAGAAGCCCTGAGCACATGCACCAACAGGATCAGGAGCAGCTTCTCCCAGCTGTTATTAGACTGATGAATGGGCTCTCTAGCCTCAAATAATGCTGATCTTGCTAAAGTCGATCTCGCCGAGCACGCACCCTATGCAATATAACCTGTATGCCTCTAAGTCTTTTTGAAAAACCTCTGATCTATACATCTTTCCTTACTATGATCTGCCTGTACTGCTTGTAAACAAGGCTTTTCACTGTACTTTGTCAATAAATCAATCAGTTCAGACAACATTCAAGAAACTTGGCCACATTTGAATTTTGAAACAAACTATGTCCCATTGACTTGTTTCCGGAGTTGATAAGGTTGGCTTATGAGGACAAATTGAGTGGGACTGGGACTACGCTCATTGGAATTTAGAAGAATGTGGAGTGGGGGGGGGGGGGGGTCGTAGAAACATATAAAATTATGAAGGGAATAGATAACACAGAATCAGGGAGGTTGTTTCCACTGGCAGGTGAAACTAGAACTAGGGGGAACAGCCTCAAAATAAGGGGGATTTAGGACTGAGTTGAGGAGGAACTTCTTCACTCAAAGGGTTGTGAATCTGAAATTCCCTGCCCAGTGAAGCAGCTGAGGCCATCTTGTTGAATGTTTAACAGCAAAGATCGATTTTTGAACAGTAATGGAAGCAAGGGTTATAGTGAGCGGGTGGGAAAGTGGAGCTGGGACCACGAAAACATCAGCCATGATCTTATTGAATGTCGGAGTAGGCTCAATGAGCCAGAAGGCCTGCTCCCATTTCTCATCTTCCTTTGCTCTTATCTTCCTATGCTCTTATGTCCCACAAGGGGATGTCTGACCCAAATGAAACCAGTGTCTTTAATTGAACAATTTTCACATTTTGGGATGAGAACCCACATTCAAAACTTAGAGACCTGGAGTCCAAAAGTTGTTATGAGAAATTCCAGAAACTAAGATTGTAATTATTTGAAATATAGAGGGTTAAATGTGATTTGATCAATGTTTTCAAGATTGTAAGGGGATCTTCAGAATCTTGGACTTGGGGACACAGTGCAAACATTACAATCAGACCCTTTAGGAGAGATATTAGGAAATACTTTTTACAAAACGTGATAGGAGTCTCAAATGCTTTTACATAAATGGCTATTGATGGTAAAATTATTAATTTTGAAGCTCAGGTTCATGTTACATTTTGGCTAATAAAAAACTAAGCTATATGTGACAAAGTGAGCAGATAAATTAATATTGCCAAACAGCTATGATAGGGTCAAGAAGCTAAATTGCTTCCCCCTGTTCTATTTGTGAGCATCTTTCTTTGCCTTTGCTGATGGCCACAAAATCTAACCCATTAGCTATAGCCACTATTTTGTAAGTTTGGTAGGTTCAATCTTATTTGGCCATTCTCAGTCTATTTGTTTGAGAATTTTGCAAATTAACAAGTCAATTAATTTGATTTAATTAATTCAATCATTGAAAGTAAGTACAGAAAAGGGAGGCTGAGAGAACAAGTGCTTGCAGTGGATTCAGACCAGATACTACATTAATTATCGAAAGTATGTTATTATAGAACAACCATTGTCCATTCTTGAATTATGAAGTATATGTTACACAAATATTTACAAGGTGAAATGTAATTTAAGTGATCAATTCAATTCTCATCACTTACACATCACATGTATAATCAGCCTAATTTTGCCTTCTAACCATAAAATGCATTTCTTTATGGAAGGAAGGTACAAACTCAAAGTAGATGAAACTAGGTGGAAACTTAGTGGGTTTGTCCAAATTGCTTTAGATTCATGGAGCCCTACAGCACGGAAACAGGCCCTTTAGCCCAAATAGGTCCGACCAAATTGTCCATCCATGCTTACCCCATTTCCCTGCACTCAGCCAATATCCTTCTAAACTTTTCTTATCCGTGTTTTCATCCAAATGTCTTTTGAATGTTGTTTATGTACCTGACTCAACCACTTCTGCTGGCAGTTCATTCCATATGTGTACCACCCTCTGTGTGAAAAAGATCCGTCTCAGGTTCCCATGTATTCTTTCCCCTCTCACCTTAAATTTATGCCTCTAGACTGAGTGCGTTCACCCTATCCTTGTCTCTCATAATCTAATACACTTCTATGGGACCTCCCCTCAGTCTCCTGTGCTCTAAAGAAAGAAGTCCTAGGGCTCTTCAGTAGATTTGTAGCTCGGGTTGTGGATGCTGTGGTTAGTTCGCTTGCCAAGCTGGTTCATTAGTTCGCAGACGTTTCATTATCCTGCTGGGTAACATCATCAGTGCAGCCTCCAATAAAGCGCTGTTGTGTTTTCCCGCCTGTTATTTAAACTCTGAGGTCCGTTGGAGTTGTGTAAAAACAATTTTCAAACAAGCCACAACACACTGCAGCAACCCAGAACTACGCCAAAATGAAGAAGAATACCTCCACCAAGTATTTAGAGACTAGAGATACCTGAACAGCTGGGTCCGACAATGCCTGTCACACAAACAGCAGGAAAATACAGTATATCCCGGCACACTTGTCACATTATCTTACATCAACAACATATTCGAACTGACCACAAGACTCCTACGGCCACTGGGCATCAGAGTGGCACACAAACCTACCTCAACCCAACGCCAACTGCTAACTCAAAGCAAAGACCCCTTGCCCACTATGGACAGAACCAACGTGATATACAAAATCCCATGCAAGGACTGCAACAAATATTACATTGGACAGACAGGAAGGAAACTGGCCACGAGAATGCTTGAACATCAACTAACAACAAAAAGACATGACCGATACTCACTCGTCTCCATTCACATGGATAAGGAGAACCACCAGTTTGATTGGGACAACGTCAGGATCCTAGGACAGGCCAAACAGAGACAAGCACAGGACTTTCTAGAGGCCTGGTTCTCCACCAAGAAGGCCAACAACAAATACATAGAATAAGACTCTGTATACACACCACTGCAAAGAAAAACCGGAAATGAGGTAATCAACTCCAACAGACCCCTGATTTTAAATAACAAACAGGAAAACACAACAGTGCTTCATCAGAGACTATATTGATGCTGTTAGCCAGCAAGGTAATGAAATGTCTGCAAAATAACGGTTTGATATAGATAACAAACAGCAATGGACCCAGCACCAACCCCTGAGGCACACCACTAGTCATAGGCCTCCAGTTCAACAAGCATCTATCCACTATTACAAGCCAATTGTGTATCCAATTTGCCAGCTCTCCCTGGATTCCATGTGATCTAACCTTCCAGAGCAGCCAGCCCTCATCAATCTTCCTGGTCACTTCATCAA